GCTAAGCCACTACAAGTGAGGGGGTAATGCACAAGCGCCGTATGGAATCCGGATAATTGACAAGGGAATGTTATTCTTACAGGCAGCAATTTGCTAGTAAAGCCATAATACCGATGTTAATTTTGTCTATATATAAATAAACCGCATAGCATGTTAAACGATTACCAACGCGTAACTATGCCTATTGTACATTGTGTTTGAAGTAAATTCTTTAAAGAATTTTTTATGCAAAACTTTGTAAGGGCATGAGGAATTCATGTATTGTCTTTGAAACTATCATCTTGCAGTACGTATTTAGCGTTAGCTAGTGTTATCACTTTTTTATTGTTTTTGTTCACGGTTAGTTTGCTGAAAAGAGGTAATTTGTTATGAAAACTTTCAAACGCAAAGGTCTGAAGCTGGCTTTGCCGCAAAACATTTTGTTCATATAACAATTGGTTTGAAATGCACAGACATGAGAGGTCAAACACTTAAGGGAAATATTGATGCCTACATCTCTGTTGAAAAATAACAAATGAAATGTCGCTTATTTGCTGCTGGAAAAAAATTTTGTGCCATTGCGCTGGCTTCGAAGCATTATGTAAATAAACTGACGAGGAAAACAGCGCTTGCAGTGGGTTCGACAGAAGAGTTTGAACGGTAACTCAGCTGTAGAGAGAAACTTTCATTTCTTGATCTGCTAAGCAGGTGGGAACCAAATACTATAGATGCTATTCAGACGAATAGAGTGCAGTGAAGAAACACATTATCAATGCACATCATCATCGGTCAAAAATCTTTCCGACGTTTATGCAGCAACAGATTATTTACGTTGATGCCGCTGGTATAGCGGACAATGCCAATGGAAGATTTCTGCAGGTACAGTAGACTCAAGAGCCTCTAAGAAACAAGCAACAGTAGCTACCCAAGTTTCTGATAAGCACACAGGCGCTGACGCCCCTATAGTAGAAGAGGACAAGAATGAAAGTGTTCAACGCTGGGAAGGATTAAGTGCGTGCAGGTTTCGTTTCTTATGCCCGGGTTGAAACGCAGCAACACAGATATTTCGACTGTATAAGGCGTCGTAATACATCAGCTTTAAAGTTGCTTACCACGCAAACCCCATCGATAC